GCGCGTTACGTGGCTCGTGGCTTCAGTCAGCGGCAGGGAGTTGACTACTTTCAGACCTTCTCTCCCACCCCGAAGATGACCACTCTTCGGGTACTGCTGCACATAGCTGCTCACCGCGACTACGAGCTGCACTCTCTTGACTTCAGCACTGCTTTCTTGCAGGGCAGCCTGCACGAGGAGATCTGGCTGCGTCGCCCACCTGGCTTCACTGGGTCTTTTCCTCCTGGCACCCAGTGGAGCCTCCGGCGGCCAGTCTACGGTCTCCGCCAGGCACCGCGTGAGTGGCACGACACACTGAGGACTACACTTGCGGCTCTTGGGTTTGCTCCCTCTACTGCCGACCCGTCGCTGTTTCTGCGCACCGACACTTCTTTGCCGCCGTTCTACATCCTCGTGTACGTCGACGACTTGGTCTTTGCCACAGCTGACACTGCTGGACTCGCCCACGTGAAGTCCGAGCTGCAGAAGAGACACACGTGCACAGACCTGGGTGAACTGCGCAGCTACCTTGGCTTGCAGATCACCCGGGACAGAGCACGCCGCACCATTACCCTGACTCAGTCACACATGGTGCAGCAGGTCCTTCAGCGCTTCGGCTTCACGTACTCCTAGCCTCAGGCCACTCCTCTGCCTACTCGCCACTCGCTCTCAGCTCTGCCTTCGGATGAGTCCGTAGAGTCGAGTGGCCCGTACCCAGAGCTTGTTGGCTGCCTCATGTACCTGATGACCTGCACACGACCTGACCTCGCATACCCTCTTAGCATTCTCGCACGCTATGTTGCTCCTGGGAGACACAGACCGGAGCACATGGCTGCAGCGAAGAGGGTGTTGCGTTACTTGTGCAGTACGTCGGGCATGGGGCTTGTGCTTGGAGGGCAGAGTCCAGTGGTCCTCACTGGGCACGCAGACGCTTCTTGGGCTGACGACCAGGCTACGCAGCGGTCGTCACAGGGTTACACCTTCAGCCTTGGTTCCGGCTCTGTTTCGTGGCGGGCTACCCGCTCGTCTTCTGTTCTCGGCTCCAGTTGTGAGGCTGAGATCTACGCCGGGGCCATGGCTGCACAGGAGCTTCGCTGGCTCACCTACCTGCTGACTGACCTCGGAGAGCCGCCTCGTTCTCCTCCAGTGCTGTACGTAGACAACAAGGCCATGCTGGCCTTGTGTCGAGAGCAGAGACTGGAGCACAGAACGAAGCACATTGCTCTCCGCTACTTCCTTGCTCGTGAGCTACAGCAGCGTGGTCAGCTGCGGCTTGCGTACGTGGCCTCTCAGGCCAACACTGCTGATATCTTCACCAAGGCACTTGCGCCTTGTGATCATCAGCGCTTCTGTACTCAGCTGGGTCTTGTGCCTACCTTGCCTCACTTGCTCACCCCTTGACCTTGTTTGTACTGTTGCATATATATATACACCTGCTCTTGCTTGTCTAGCCTTATATATATATGTAATCCTGCATGTGAACTGGCCTTGTGGCCTTGAACTTGTGCTCGGAATGTGTGGTGACTTTGTGATCCACCCTGAGCTTGCTTTGCTTTGCTTGACTGGTCTTGTGACCCCTTGTTCTCCCCCACTTTGCCTATGGGGGTGTGTCCGATTTATATGACATAGCTACTGTAGGCTATAGTGGGGTAGCACATATGGGGTACAGTTTTCTAGGGTTTGCATTTTGTACCCAACTTTCCCTTAGTCATTCCATTCCTCGTTTCTTTTCAGCGTCGTTCTGTAGGCACGACGGAGGGAAGGGGGAGGGAAAATAGGAAGCTGCCTGCCTCTGCAATTTTAGGTTCGAAATGGCGGTCAGCCCAAAAAGGCTGACGTGGTAGTCATTTCCCTTCCGAACCTAATCGAAGGGAAATGCCTGCAGAACAGTCATTTCCCTCCAGGTAAATGCACCCCCAGGAAGGTTCTTATTTCCCCTCACCACCTTCCTCCTCGGGAAAATTTATTTGCCTCCGCCCCGCCATCGGCCACCCACCCTTCACGGGGAAGTGCGACGGTGACGGGAGGGAGGAGCTGGGCGTGGGAACACCAGCCTCCCACCCAAGAAACAAGCTTCCCTGTACAGCCACTAACCCAAACAGGGTTGCAAATCTCAAATCGAAAAAGAAAAACACACATCAACCACCAATGTGGAAACCCTGGCGGCCTGCTCACCACTCCTGTATGTTGGGGTTTTTTATGTTGAAAATGCCCAGCCCCGAAACATTACCATCGTCCTGCATTCGATTGTCACGATTTACCCGTCCATTGGACGCGAGAAATTCCGCGAGAAGTTCGTCATTTTCCCTCGGAAACTACCTTCCTAGAATCCGAAATTTCCCATCTCGGGTATTTGCCCAGGTGGGGGAAATCGACCTCGGAACCCACCTCGGAACCCTCCTCATTTCCCTTCTCCCTCCCTCCTCCCCCAATCGTCAGGTGCCTACAGAACGACACCAGTGCTGAAATATTGCTACGCTTGTCAGAAACTATGTCCCCCCTTCCCCATTGTCTCTACAGGTCGCAACGCAATGAACCAGCACTACACGTGCCAATCTGGTACAGAGAATTACCTTCGGTTCTGCTAGATGTAGAGTGGTTCAGCGAGCGCACCGAAATTGCATGATCTTGGGATCTGAGTTCGTATTTGCAAAAATTCCTCGGCGTTATCGCACACACATCTATAGCGAGATATTTACAAGATAAGGGTTGCTGACGCGTCAAAAACAGTCTCACTCAATTGGTGCGGTGTCGCAATTGGATTTGACAGCCCAGTTTGGTTTGGACTTCAGTGGCGAACAGAAACCAAATGGCCTAAGGTTTCCGTTATTCGCCAAGCTTCGTGATGATTCGTCTGAGCCCACAGGTTCTGTACATCCCAACTGTCCAGGGTTTCGACGACCTCGCAAAACAATTCGCCAACATTTCGACAATCGTCACATGCGACCCAACACCTTCAAACTCTATCCTGAGCACGGCACTAGCTCATTTTTTCTTGCCTTGATTTCCATGCTCCATCTTCTCTGTTGACGCTCTTCACTTCCCTCCAGATATCGCAGGAGAGCTATGGCTGACGTTGTTTAGAAACGCATCGCGATAAGCTACCGTCTCACTAAAATTCCATGCCCCATCTTCCCTGTTGTCCTTCTTACACTCTCTTTCCACCAGATATCACAGGACTGCAGTGGCTGTCGATATTCAGAACTGCGTGCATGAACGCCGTCTCACCGTCTACGCCGTCTTGCGAATAGGCTTCATTCTCGCGGCCTACGTTCGCTGTTCCTTTCATGTGCAAATCAGGTCAGATTTCGTTTCATCTAATTACGCATTGCCTACTGCGACTCTGTGACTACCTGATTTTGCAGAATACAAGCGCACATGGCAGCGTTTTTTGTCAGTGATTTCCGCGTCTGAGATCATTATCACGAAGATGTTAATACCTTCCAGAAGATTTATCGCCGTATTATTGCCAAGTTTATCACGGTTCTTGGCGGAATTTACTGGGATGCAGTTCCGACCATATCATGTGCATCTATTATCGGTAGGTTCGTGTTTGTGTTTACCTAACCCTGCTGGTGTGTTGATGTTGAGTGCAGAAACCTTGCCCTGCCTACAGGAAGCTGTTTGCATGATACGTGTCTGCTGGCTGGTGGGTGTTGTATCTGGGTACATAAGTAGGATGTGGGGTTATTTTTGTTCGTTACTGGCAAGGTAGACAAAGAATTCTGATGAATATGTGTCATTCCTGAAAATTTTACAGAATATTTAAGTAAACAATCAATATAACTTAGGGTACATTCCTGCGGGGACACTTGTGTCTCAATCCCCGATTTCCCGAGTCGCGCCTGTAAATTTGCCAAATGTTGTGTCACAAACAACCAATGTATCGCGACTCTAGGCGACCAGGCGAGATGTACAGTTGTGCGCATTTGTTTGGGTGACACAAATGACTGTACATCCCTTTTTTCAACCGCTTGGCTGGGGTGTGGTTTCGACGAGCGGGATTTTTTCCCGCACGAAATTGGCATTGCAGGCTGTCCAGGTGCATTGACATTTCGAGCAGCGTGTGAATTTTTCACATTGACGAGTCAGATTACAATTCGTCAGCGACGTCAGCGCGTTTCACACTGACCAATAAAAAATACAGTAATGGTCGCGGAAATGCGACTCGCAATTGGGACACACTACAGTTTATGCTGTTTTTGTGTGTCACAAAGCGATTGAGACATTTGTGTCTCCACAGGAATGTACCCTTATTGCAGAGAATGAATGCATCAGAGAACTACAGTGCCACATGTCAAATTTTCGATTAATAGTTTCTTTGTGATTGCCATAATGAGCTGCGTGTACTGTGATGATTGATTCGTTGTTAAAATCCTTTCAGTTGGATTTCCTGATTCTATAGCGAGGATAAGCAATGCTGGGTGCATGCTCGTGCACTGCTTGCCGAGCCTGCTAAAGATTGCTCAAGAAACCCTTCGAATGATTCCTTGAAGAATCTTCAACTGTTCAGCATTCATCATGATAGACCACAAGCATTGACGGCAGGGGAAAACCTCAAGCAGTCCCCTTGAAATCATTTTGCATTCTTTTTCCGTTTGACATTTTGTAGGATCCTCTCACCACGCACTGCATCTCACCATGCAATGTCTCTCACCATGCCTCCCACCATGCCTCCTACCATGCCTTGCCTTTCACCACAATGCACCTGCAGGGGCGGACAGAGAGGCTCACGAGGCATCTGCGCTGGCAGAGCTGCGAGTGCAACTGTCTGGAGTTATTGGATACGTGTCTGCACCTCATTGGCCCCAACATACCCGCACAGATTTGCGACCCAGCCTTGGAACTCAATGTAGTGGTGCTTGAGGGGAATGCCCTGGGGGCAGTGCGGTGTGCTAAGCGCATTGAGGGGAGACATGTGGTGCATGTGTGGCCGTCTTTTCCTCCACGTGCCACCCATCCCCTGTCATTGTCTCGCTTCATCCACTGCCCAATCACGGTGGGCTCACTCCTTGCACTATATGCCTGCATACTCTGCGTACTTGCTCCCATCCCCAGCAGTGCTCCCATCCCCAGCAGGGGCTAGATGGGTGGGACGCACAGCAAGTTGTGCAAGGAGGAGAAGGGGGTTCTATAGTCCAGTCGAAAAGGGGGTGAGGCAGGTGCCCGACTGCATCAAGTTGCAGGCAGATGGGGATGAAGATGCTGCTCCCATGCTGCCCTCTCCCTTCCTGATCTTATGCACTCTCCATCCCCTCCATATCCCACCAGTTACGTCCGTCAGTGGCGCTGCTCCTTGCCCTGCAGCCACTCCCCTTGCACCAATCACAGCCACGCTCATTCCACCAATCACAGACTGTGTCCCTGTCCTCCCCCACCCCGCCCCTCCGTGCCAGCCCTCATACTGCACTCACCCCATCAGTCCTGCAACCAGATTCACCCACGCGGCATGCCGCAGGGTTCACTCTTTTCTGCAGCATCCACCCCCCTTCCATTCCTCACGTCACACGACCCTGCTTCTGTTTGCCGCTAGGCCCTCATGCTGCCCCACTATCACCCTGCACCCCTTGGATTCCAACGCTCATCATTGCCCCTCACCAGACGCGCATGCTGCGCCCACGGGCTGTCACAAGGCACGACGCTGGCTCACTCCCTTCTGCGCCAACCACTACCCCACAGCCCTCACACCACCCTGCTCCTTCCCCCTCTCCCGCCCCCTGTCTGTTAGTTCCTCGTGCTGCGTGGGTGGAGGCTACCAGAACTCGTCACGGACTAGAGCCATGAGGCATGACTGGTAGCCGCACCACATTTTCCTCTTTGAAAGGTACGGAGGGCGAGCCGCACCACATTCTCTTTGAAAGGTACGGAGGGCGGGCCGCACCACATTCTCTTTGAAAGGTACGGAGGGCGGGCCGCACCACATTCTCTTTGAAAGGTACGGAGGGCGGGCCGCACCACATTCTCTTTGAAAGGTACGGAGGGCGGGCCGCACCACATTCTCTTTGAAAGGTACGGAGGGCGGGCCGCACCACATTCTCTTTGAAAGGTACGGAGGGCGGGCCGCACCACATTCTCCTCTGCGCCACCTTGTGTTGTCCCCCACCTTTCCCCTCCACCAGGTCCTCATGCTGTGTGGTGGCATGTGTGTCATAACTAGCAAACTACAGCCACGAGGCGCCACTGACTGTGAGCCAGAGAGGCATCGAGGCGCCACAGGTGCCTTGGGCGCCACAGGTGCCTTGGGCACCACAGCCAGTTCGCATCGCACAGCATCGTTCTGCCCCATCCCTCTTCTCCCACCAGATCCTCATGCTGCACTGTGGACTGCCAGCGCGCATCACGGACTGCAGCCACGAGGCAGCACAGCGAGGCAGGGAGGCAGGGAGGCGCCGCAAGGTATGATGGGGGGTTGCAGGTGGGCACCACTATCCGCTCCTTTGCGCCATCTCATGCTGCCCACCCTGTCTCCCCGCTGGGCTGCCAGCACTCATCATGGCCCACAGTTTCGAGCTAAGTTGGATATTACGCGTACGTTTACGTACGTCTTACATTATGTGTGCGGAGCTGAAAATTGCTTACGTTTGCGGGCAGATTACAACTTTTTTTGGGCTGCCCAACAACCTTGTGCCCTCATTTTTGCTGTAAATCCGATTGTTTCTTGCACAACCAAAGGGTGCTGCGACGATCTTTCGACCACCGCCCATATAGTTTGTGGTGACGGGTTTCATGTGTGCTGGTTTTCACACCATTCCACATTGTTTGTCTCACATCATGCCTCTTGTCCCACTCCTGTAGTTGGCGGCCCTTCTTGGCATTTGTTTTCCCTACCCGAATATAAGTTACGCGTATTTACGCGTACGTTTACGTTTACGAGTAATATTACGATTATGTGGGTCCAAGAACGAACGGAACCAACTTAGCTGGTTTTGAGGCAGCACAGCACAGCGAAACAGGGAGGTAGGGAGGCGCCACAGCCAGCCCTGGTGGCACCATACTTCCCATACCTTTTCTCCCACCAGGTTCTCATGCTGTGTCAGAAGCTCCCAGCACTCATCACGGATTACAGCCACGAGGCAGCACAGCGAGCCCGGGGAAGTGCTCCGCTTGCTAGCTGTCAACGCCAGACCCTCATGCTGCACCCATGTGCCCCATCCCTTTGTTCGCCGCCAGGCCTTCAGATCACCGTGCTGCCCCATCCCTCCTGCCACCAGGTTCTCATGCTGCGCCAGAAGCTCCCAGCACTCATCACGGATTACAGCCACGAGGCAGCACAGCGAGCCTTGGAAGTGCTCTGCTCGCTGGTTGTCGACGTGGAAAGGTGCCCTGGGGGAGAGGCGGCGCGAGGGGGTGGCGAAAGCTGCGGCAGCTGTGCTGCAACCTGTCATCAGCGAGGTAGGCGGGGGTCCAAGGAGACAACGGTTAGGCCAGGGAGGCTCTCTGCTCGCTGCCTGCTGAGGTGCAAAGGAGTGGCGAGAGGAGGGGCTGCAGCGGCCGCGGTGCTGCACTGCAGCCTGTCATCGGCAAGGTAGTCTGGGCTTGTGAAGGAAGCAAAGGAAAGGAAGGAGGTCCGTTGAATATAACTGTGATTGTGAAGGGAGTTAGAAATGGTGTACATGAGTGTGAGAAGGGAAGGTGGGTGGGTAAGGACCTTGACCCAAACTATTTTTCTTGGGTCTTGGATTTGTTTGGGTCCCAAATAAGCTTGGTCAATAGTGAGCCAAGATTATAGGGGGTCCATCAATCTCTCAACCACCATGGGGACCTAATAATTGGGCCAAGTTTGGTTTTGGGTGCATCACCTTGGTTTTGAAAAACTCCTGGCTGATTATTGGATCTAGGTTCTGGGTGGTATACTTTACTCTATCCAAGCAATGCATGGTAAAACAGGGATGAGGTCCTGACAAACGTGTCTTAAACTGAATGCAGACAGCCAAGCCATGCCTCATGTCCTTGACCCCTCGCCACACCTCCCACCCCTTACCACTCCCCATAATGCCCCTACCTACCCTTCTCACCTCTCACCACCTCTCCAATCATCCCCTCACCATGCCTCACTGCTCTCGCTACCGCTTTCGTTGCCCCTCCCGATCCTCCCCATCCCTCCGATTGTCCCTTCCCAACCCTCATATTGTCCATTCCCACCCTCTCCCCTCGCCCCCCTCTCCTGGCAGGTGCGTCTGAACCCCTTCCGCATGCCCTTCGCCCATCCCATGGCCAGCCTCGCCCTGCCCTCCCTTCCCAACTGCTTCTACTTCACTCTCTCCTTCCCCACCGCACCCACTAGTGCTCATGTGCATGTGCTGATGCATGCGTTGACGCATGTGCTGATGCATGCGCTGCAAAGCTGAGTGCATGACCACCTGCATGCTTACTGCTGCCCTCCCTGCCCAACTGCTTCCACTTCACTCTCTCCTTCCCTGTTACTCCCACTGGTGATGCATGTGCTGCACAGATGAGTGCGTGAGCAGCTGCCATTACTGCTACACCTTCTCTGCCCAACTGCTTGCACGGATGAGTGCATGACCACGTGCAGGCTTAGTGCTGCCCTCCCTGCCCAACTGCTTCTACTTCACTCCCACCTTCCCCGCCGTGCCTGCCCGTGCGTGCTGTCGTGCATGCACCCGCTACCGAGATGAGTACAGGAGCAGCTGACATGACTGGACGCATGCATGCTTAATGCTGCCCTCCCTGCCCATCTGTCACATCTTCACTCTCCCTTCCCCACCACACGCACTAGTGTTGAGCTCACTGATACTCATGCATGCGCTGCAGAGGCGAGTGCATGAGAGCAGCTGCCATGACTGGATGCATGCATGTTAGTGCCGCCTTCCCTGCCCATCTGCCACTTCTTCAATATCCCCTTCCCCGCTGTAAGCACTGGTGCTGAGTTGACGGGGCCAGGATCAACTGCCGTGAGTGCATGAGCAACTGGCATGAGTGCCAACATGTATTGTCCGATCTACAGTATTTCCTTGTGCAACTCCAAGTACTTAACTCTCTTCCTGCCACAGTGAAGACTGCTGTGAACTGACACAATATCCTACATTAGCTGCGACAGTGGAAATGCCTTCGAAAAGAATTGAAGTTCTGTACGAGCAATGCTTTCAGCTTTTGATCCTAGCCAAGCATGATCAGGATGTGTGGTGCCATACTAGTAGTTCGTTTTCAGCTCATGAATCACTGTTCAGACTTGTGGGTGACGGTTTAAAGTGCTGGTGCAAATAAACCACTGTACCGTAGAATGCACAAAACCTTTCTCTTACCACAGACACTAAACTGACAGCGAATAAAGTCTGACGGACACTCATCCGAAGCTTTTGTGTTATAACGCTCTTGCCCAGATCAAACAAGGGCCTATCCAATCCAGACTTGGCCATGAAATGCCGAATGACCTCAGCTTTCAAACAGCGTGCCCCGAAAACATAAGGAAAGTGTATGGCAAAAAAATGTTGGGAGTTAGTCCAACATTATGCTGATGGATCAGCCCTAGTTTTACAGGAGATAACGGTATGAGACAACCAGAACCCTTTGATAAAGCCATGAAGATAACACATCAGTCTCATCAAACTAGATCTCGCATGACAAAGAGAAAAATATACGATCAAGCCTCTTTTAAAGCCTTCTGTTAGAGATCCACTGCCTTCGCTCTCTCCCCTTCATTACCTGACAACAAAGTTCTATGCACAGCACAGTACCGCAACAGCAACAAAAATTCCACATAGATGTTATGCCATCTGTAAGAGGCGAACATGCTATACCATGTTAGCCATTTCACATCAACATGCTTACCGAGTCAAACGCTCCGAATCAGATGCTCCAACCACGAGAAAAGCGTGCAGACACTTGTCAAGATACTCTTTGAGTTCCAGCACTTGGCATAAGTCTGCTGCTGCCAAGATTTTCAGTTCCTGCACAGCCACACAAGCAGAAGCAGCACAACAGAAGCAGCAAAGTTGTCTTCTCCAGAATGCATTTGGGGGCATGAGAAACAAACCTGCTCATTCTCACCTTCCGGGTCATAGTCTGTATGTGCAGCTCGCCTGTGTACATAAAAGTAAGTAGCCCATCCAGTGCTGCGCTGTCAATGTCCTTCAGCTTAAAATTCCTATGATCTTCATTGCTGCTGAACATTCTTGCAAAAACTGGCGACCTGCAGAGAAATGACCGCTTGCAATCTGTTAGGGACCTTGCAGTCTGAGCATGTTGCTCCCACGCACAACCATGAAAGGGAAACAGAACAAAGTGGGAATCATAAGGACTAACCATGAAGCAAGTATGCAGCGATGAGAGGAAGGGCATGGATGGAGGGGAATGGAGGGGCATAGAGTGGACTGACTCACCCCGTAAAAAAAGCCTCGATTCTGTTCTTGCACCGCTACGCAGGCGCCTCTCCCGCACTCGCAGAGGCGGGGCGGAGTGGCGCTGGCTATAAAGAGACGACACTGGCGGGTGGGGGAGAGATGTGCACGGAATGGGCGGGGAGGGGAGGGGAGGGGAGGGGAGGGGAGGGGAGGGGAGGGGAGGGGAGGGGAGGGGAGCTGCCAGGGAGGGGAGGGGAGGGGAGGGGAGGGGAGCAGAGGGGAGGGGAGGGGAGGGGAGGCGAGGGGAGGGGAGGGGGAGGGGAGGGGAGGGGAGCGGAGGGGAGGGGCGGGGAGGGGAGGGGAGGCGAGGGGAGTGGAGGGGAGGCGAGGGGAGGGGAGGCGAGGGGAGTGGAGGCGAGGGGAGTGGAGGGGAGGTGAGGGAAGGGGAGGGAAGGGGAGGGGAGGGGAGCGGAGGGAAGGGCAAGGAATGGGAGGAAATGGGAGGGAAGTTGAAGGAATGGGAGGGAAAGGGAGGGAAGTTGAAGGAATGGGAGGGAAAGAGAGGGAAAGGGGAAGGAATGGGAGGGAAAGGGAGGGAAAGGGGAAGGAATGGGAAAGTCACCATGGCAACTCATGCGGCCGGCGCCACTATTGCGTTCGCGAGTGTGTGAGAGCGTGCGACGCGAATGTGAGCGCGCGAGAGACGCGAGAGTGATAGGGTAGGGTGGGTGTGTGCGAGAGGCACGGGCGTGGTGATGAGCGGGGCACGTTCGTCCTCAGCACGCGACACACCCACCCCAATGAGACGCACTTCGTTGCTCGTGCAAAAGGGACGTTGAACGCTTGCGAGATGGCGTGAGGCCGCAATGGGTGACGATCCGCTATTGAAAGCGAGCTGCAACAGTGCAGCAGCCCACTGTTACTGTTGGGCAGCCGCACAGTGCCAACCCACCGGCTAGTGGGAGGCTGCAAACTCCCAAACCACGCAAGGTTGGGATTGGTCAGCCTCCCCTCCCAGCATTTGGGCGCCCACCTGAAGACACGCAGCCCAAACCACCCTCGCGCGAAAATTACGAAACGCAGAAAAGTCAAGTTCCGACCCCTCGCCGACTTCGCCAATGGTGCCGACGAAATTACAGCCATGTAACCAAGCTCGCCGTCCAATCCCGCATCGCAATCAATCTCTGAATTTCACGGCAAGGTTCATTTCAAGGGGTAGAGCTACCAATAAGAAATTCAGAGTGTCGCGACTTGGTTGTGCGATTCGATTTGTGAATGCATCCTATAAAATTGTGTGTGAAATTTGTTGAAGTCATATTGCAAATTCCAGAGAACTCCAGAGAGCACTTCATACCCGTTTTCCTAGCCCACTAAGGCTGCTACTTCCCTGCCAGCAACTTTTCACTGGTATCAGAGCTTGGTTAGTCACTTCGCACGCTCCTGCCATATTCTAGACCCTATGGCTGGGCCATCTGATATGACTCCGGAACTCTTAAACGAGTTTGTCGCCAATATGCGCTGAGAAATTGAACGTGAGGTGCGTGACCGGATCCTCGGCGAACTCCAGGAACGTGGACTCGTGGGCACACAGGTGCCGGCGCCAGCACCTGCTGTGGTCTCTGCACGTCTGAAAGCACCTGAACCTGAGCCGTTTGTCCCTGGAAAACGGGACTTACCTGTGCAAAGATGGCTCTTCCAAATGGAGGAGTACCTTTCCCTATGCCACGTGAACCAAGCCGAATGGGCGAGGCACGCCGTCATGATGCTGCGAGGTGCTGCTGCTACTTGGTGGCAGATCTGCCACGCTACAATTTCAACCTGGGAAGAATTTTCAGCATCGCTCACCATGAACTTCGAACCTGTCAACGCGATTGAACGCGCTCGTGACAACCTCGCTGCACTACGCCAACACCGCTCCGTAGCCGAATACGTCAACCGCTTCCGGGAGTTGGTGCTGGAGATTCCCGACATCCCTGCCTCCGAGCAGATGGATAAGTTCAAGCGTGGGCTGAAACCAAAAATTCGCACCGAAGTGGAGCTTCGCGGTTGCACATCGATGGATGATATGATCCGTGTGGCAGAACGCTTCGACACGATCAACTTCGCTGCGTTCCAACGCTTCAACGGCATGATCTCGTGCAAACGTTCCTACACCCATGGAGCTGGGAATAATGGAGAGGCAGCCGCATAATGCCTCAAACGTCATGTGCTACCAATGCGGGAAGATG